GAAAACTTACAATGAAGTTACAATGACCCAGCCTTCACGAGGTTAACAACAACAACCTACTAAAAAACTACTCCTAGGAAATGAAGTGCAGTACAAGAATTGAACTGCTGGAAATGTAAAGAACTGGAAATATAAAACTGGAAAGAAAAATATGAAGTAAATGACTGGTTTCTGGATCTGAGTCTGAGGGTTTCATTTTGGGGCCTTCCTTGCTATTTATACTTCCCAGTGGTAACCGTTGAAGTGGGCTTCTAACTGTTGAAGCGTCCTCCCATGATTGCTAAACATACTATGTCATAGTCAATCCCACTAAGTCACTCTTGCAGTTAGGCTTCCCTCCTGATTTTGAATTTAAATTTATGAGTAACCTTTAGGCCACGTCATCTTGTGTCTCTTGACTGTTCCAGTGCTACGCAGATCCATTATTACCAATACGAACTGCCACGTGTCCGACTTTGATTGACAACTTATATTAATTTCCCAAATTGCCCTCATTGTGCCACGTGTTAAGTTATGATTGGCTTATACAAAATATGTAGCCAACATTACCCCCAGCACTAATATACCCAATACTTGGTGATATTAGTAGACCAGTGCACTTTGTCCACATCTTAGGATGTGCATGGACTTGGCTGAAGTATAACCGTCTTCTTAGAAATGAAGCACTGACCTTCATTAAATCCTTCCCCACGCTTTAAATATTCCCTCCATATTTTGCGAATACGAAGAGACTGATACATCCCTAATGGCCAAACCAACCTTTTTTTACATTGATCGAACATACAAAAAGGCATTTGACAATGATGACCACCCTCGAAAGAATCTTCATGCATTTATTGGCCACATTTATCCGCCCTCATTTATACAAGTTATGGAAGCTGTTGCAAATTATCAACCTTTGGACCAAAAATCTACTAATTACAATTCTCTGGACCAAGAACTTACAAAAATGGATATTGGAAGTTCCTCCTCCGTCCCAAAACTTTCTGCATGGGATGAAGCTGCTTCATTATCTTCTAAAAATACTAGCTAGGACGCTTGGTCCACCCCTAGTCAACCTCAAACAAGAGAACGAATACACCATCGATTTCCTGAGTTTGATGATCCCACTGTAATTCACCCCTCCATGCGCAGTTCTGTAGTATATCCATACGTTCTTTTCGTCTGTCTTCGCAGCCTTGAAGACAACCTGTTTTTGGCATGGCATACTTCTACCTTGCCATCCAGAATGGTGCGAAGAACTCCACACCCTATTGAAGCCTTGGGAATCAATCATGCACTCTTAGCCAAAAAAGCAAAACTTTGCTCTTTTGATTGGCTAGAATGCTTGAACAAGCCTGAATTCCCACCTTTATTTGGAGGGAACCCAACTGCTCCTCCATTGCCCTCCAATTCTAACTGGATTGAGGAACTGAGCCAATATTTTGCTCCCTACCAGGCTTCAATTCCTCCTACTCCTTACTAACAGTACAGAGCTCAGACTCTGTTTGCCGCTTTTTCCCATTTATCCTTTGAAGTCCTTCGAGATGACATCACTCACAAGAACTTACTATGGTCTTGTGATATTGTTTCTCGAAGCCGCATTCTCAATCCTATGGCCTAGGCTGAACTTCATACTTTCTCGGATCAACTTTCCCTTCTACTTAACTGGCACACAAATCCTTCTATTACCAGTGAGTTATTGGAGAATACTTCTGCTACACGCATTCAAATTCAGTATGAAGCAAATAATCTTCTCGTAGAATATGAATACTTTAAAAACCAAGATTCAGAGTATGAGGAAGATGCCACTATGGATGATGCACCTGAAGAAGGAGAAATAAACAAGATGGAGAAGGCACTTAAACAAACAGAATTTGAAATGAAGGCCCAACAACTCTTTTTCCAACTAAGGGCTCATCAATTAGATAAACCAAACTTAGATAGGTTAGAAAAAGAATATGTATTCATTGAATTTTGCTAGACAAAGTTCCATGATCTTGTGACTTTGTCCATTCCTTATTTTTACAAAATTGAAAATGTAGCCAAGTAGGTTTCCCCAATGTAAACATTACTTATCAATAGAACTAGGCTTCTCAAATTTCATTTGTTATGGTCTGGTGTTATGTTCCAATTGTATGGTTAACATAATTTGTGTGAACAACAGCTTTGAAGTCACCAATCTTGCTTCGAAACCAAGTTTAAGTGCTTCGAAGTATGGAATTTTTCCTTAGAAATTACACTGCTTACTCTTAAAGAGCTCTCTCAGATAGAAAATTCAAGGATGAAATTTCATGAAAAGGTAAGTCTTTTGGGTTTCTTCACTACTTGACCAAGAACTAGTTTTGTAGTGCTTACTTATTTCAGAACCCAAAACTTTAAACAAGATAAGCATTCCAAAGACTCCTTCGAAGGATATTACCTTATAAAGATGTCCTACGAGTATGCTTATAAAACCTTTGAAGAAAACAAGCCGTAACTGATGTTTTTTTAAGACATAACCTTCAGAGATCTTGGAAGGAAACTTGCTTCAAAGCCAACTACAGGTTTTCGAAGCCAAGCTGAACGTTTAAAATATACTTCCCTCCCAAAACTTACTCTTGAAAGAGACTCTCTATAATGTGGTTTTGAGATCCCTTGTGTTTTAAAACTAGAGTTTTAATTCCACATGAGTCAAAACCATCAAATAATTTATTTCAGGTCTACTTAACCAATTGGGCTGACTTGGTAATTTTTTGGGCAGAAAGGTTTAAACCCTTTTTCTTCGCACTTTACCTATTCACTTGCCCAAAATTTCCCTTCTCACCTCTACTACTCTTATCTGCAACTTGTCACTCCTCATCCACCTTCTTTTTTCAACTCCTCAATAATGACTTCTTCTCCTCTAAAAGTACCAGTCGTTGAGCGTGTGAGCCCATCTATGGCTTTGAGGAGACTTATTAATGAAGAATCTAACAAATACAAAGTTGGTGAACGGTGTGCTGTCAATAGCCGCATCCTCATTCCCTGTTACCATGCTCAAGAAAAATACGTAGTTGGACCCATTTTCAAGGAAGCCCTTGCTCAACTCCCTACCTTATACCCGCGTCTAAAAGATCATTGCCTCATTTACGAGGGTGGCCTTGATTGGAGGAGCTTGAGGTTGAACCGACCCCATCGCTGTTGGCTCACCTTGAGGCTTGAATGAAAGGAATGGTACGATCGAGTTGTTCCTGCTAGGATGTTAGACCTTCAAGAACTCTGTCTCCTCGACGCCCTTCGATTAGCTAGGTTTTCTATTTCTGAAGACCCTTCCCTCATACCTGTTGCACTCTGTTTTTGGAATCCATCTTTCAATTTTTTTCCAATTTCGATGTGGTATGATGGCCCTTACTGTTCTTGATATATGCCATCTCTTAGGGTTATTCCCCATTGGCATTCCTTTTAGCCCTGATTACCCTGACCTTAATGTGCCTTTTTCCATTCCCCCTCTTAGCTCCTCCTTTAGTGATTTCGCAAATTTTGAAAACCAAAAGGAGGGCCTTGTAACAGATCGAGAGTTTTTCTCTTTTCTTCTACACTGGCTTTGCAAAATTTTATTTTGCACTTCTTCTCAGAGGGTTATGCCTGAGTTTGCCTCTCTTGCCAAGGCTCTTTCTTTGGGAAAGAAGATAGCCCTAGCTCCATATGTTTTAGGCCAGGTATATAGAGCCTGCTCCCAGCTTTATGAAAAACCTTTGGATGCCAACCAAGGAGGCCCACTCTAGATATTGCCACTTTGGCTCTTTACCTACTTCACTGATTTACACTCTAGATGTCTGAGATTTTTGGTACCAAACGCTACTACTTATGGAGTAAAATATGCCAGAGTTTCACTTTACCCTTCCAACTTTGCTTACTACTTCACTTTTTGCCACCAACTCCCAACTTCCTCTCCTTTTGACACCTTTTTCTGTCCCTTCGAAGCTAATGTTGGCCCAGCATGGTTGAGGACCTTCTTGGCTGACAGAAACTGCTCACAACGTCAACACAGGGACATGTGGGTTTCTATCTTAACTTCAAGGGAGCTTTTTATTGGCACTTTACACTCTCGAGCTTACAAATGCATAGCAGAAGCCTACTGCCTTGCTCAATTTGCTAGGCAATTTAGGCTGACCCAGGGTGTAACAACCCCATCGCGTATAATGATTAGCACTTAATTAATTAAGGATATTTGAAATTTTATCGCCAATTATTATAATTTAATCTGGGATTCACGAAAATTATGGAGATTGATTCATATATGATTTTATCAAGGATTTATTTTGGAATTAGAATCGAAAGCCTAAATGGCTCAAGAAAGTGCAAATAGTGATTTGAATTATTTAAATTTTGAGTATCGGGCCATATGGGAGTTTAATTGAATATTCGATTCAGGTTTATAAAATTGAGACCCGATTAATTAGGTCTGAATTGGAGTTAATTAAGTTGAGAGGATTAGGAATTAAGATTATTATAAATTAAATTCATTATGTGGTGCCTAATTTGAATATGTAATTTATTGACAAAATTTTGAGTCTGATTAGAAATTGAAGGATTAACTGATCTAAGAAACCAAAATTGAGGATGGAAATGAGTTTAATTTAATATTTGGGGCCTTTTAGGAGTTTGATTAAAAATCTGATTCGGATTGTTAAATTTAAATATATTTAATTAGGCTCTAATGGAAGTCAGTTAAACTAATTAAATTATGTGAGATTTGAGATTAGTTATAATTAACTAATTTTGTGTTAATTAAAATTAATTAAGATTAAGTGATGCTTAATTAAATTATTCCTAGACATAAATTGAATTATGGACAAAACTAGTATTGGGAGTGTAAATGGGTGTGGGTGTATTGAGAAATCTGTATGTGTGTGTATGTGATGTGTTGGAAATCAAAGGAGTGTGCACGTGTGTATTGTAAAGAAGGGAGTGTGTATACATGAGGAGAGAGAGAGTAGGTAACTCTTGGTTTTATTATTTTATCTTACTGGCCATTCTTATGCTAGAGGGATTTGAGAACAAAAAAAAGAGAGAGGAACTTCACATTGCTTTGGGCAACCCATGAGTGAGAGAGAGAACCAAGAGAGGGAAGGAAGCAATTTCAGCTCAAGAAGAAGGAAAACTAAGGAAAGAAAAGCTAGAAAAGATGAGAAATGGAAAGAGGAGCTCAAGGTTTGAAAGAGAAGAAGAATTATAAAACTTAAGGTATGGAATTTATGCCTAATTTGTGTAGAACCCTTACATTACACTTACAATTAAAGATGAAATTAGACTCAAATCATGTAATTGAAAGGAATTAGCAAGAAAATGAAGAAGATTGATTTAGATGTAAGATTATGGAAGTTAATTTGGAATTGGATTCTAAACATGAAATGGGTTACATGCATGTGGGTTATTATGGAAAATAAATTAGAAATTAATTATTTTGAGTTTAATTTTTGTAATCTTGCATGAGATTAAGTTTCATTGTCACACGTATGAGGGAATTATATGAGTATTTGAATTTATATTTACATGCATCATGGATTTTGAAGAAATTGAGCCATTTAAGTTCATATTTTGAAGAGAAAAAGGGAATGTTTTATGAACATCAAGTTATGGAAAATTAGAATTAATCCTAATGCTAGATAAAGCTTTGATTTTATAATTAGATTTTTAATCCATGTATGTAATGTAATTTAAGATTTTATTTGAATTAAACATATTTTGATTATGAATTAAGTTGAGGTTACAAATTAAGTTGAGTTTAAGATTATGGAAATTAGAGGGAAAATTTATAAGAAGTTTCATGACTCCAATTTCATGATTTCAAGGAAACTAGAAAGAACTGGAGGCCAATTTTATGTAATTAAAGAGAAAATGAGAAATTGAAGCTATGATCAAATGTATGAGAATTAATTTAGAAATTAATTACTTTGGGTGGAATTTATTTGTCCTAACATGAAATTGAGTTCCAATTGTATGTACATTATGAATTTTTCAAGAGTTTTGAAAGTTTAATTCGTGTTTTAAAATTTGTGGGCTTGAAATTGGGTTTGATATAGAGAAGATGAGTTAAATTTAAATTTGGTCAACTGGAGCATGATTTTGAATAAATGATTTCTAATTGAGAGTGTTTACTAAATTATACAATGGTTCTCCATTTTTGTGTACCAAAAATACATGTTTTGAGGCTTTGAATATCAAATATGAACTTCACTTACAATTTTGGAAATTTCAAAATTTATGTTGTCCGCTCGAGCGAGGAAAGTCTCGCTCGAACGTGAAAATCGAGCTCCCAATAATTTTTCAAATTTTGCAATCCGCTCAAGCGGCCAAAGTGGCGCTTGAGCGGAGACCCATTTTCAGCATGTTTTGGAAAATTGCATTTAGTTCACATTTTTATTCTCATCTCTTTCCAAGGCATCTAGACATGATTTATGACTCAATAAAGATTAATAAGCTACCAATCAACATAGATTAGTTAGTTGAAGAATGAATCATTGATCTAATGGTAATTGTTAAAAAGCCAAGTAAAAGATCAATCTATTTGGAAAAGAAGGGCTTAGTAATGAAAGAATATGTGAAATAAGAACCCGGTTTATTTGAATGAGAAAGAATAAGCGTAGTAGAACTTCGGACTATTTAGACGGAAAAAGACAAGAAAAATCAAGTTTGATCAAAGGAGTAATATTGTATTTCAATGTGTATATGTTATGTACTTGTGTGGGTCACGCGCCATTGTCTGCCTGATTTATCTGATATGTCCAGTCCGTCTGATTTGCTTCTGCGGCTATTTGTGAGTAATAACTTTGTAAAGTTATGTTCAATGTTAAATACTTTATGAACATTATGATATGAAATTATTAGTTTCTGAAATGCTACACTATGTTTGAAATGAATGAATGATTGTCCAAGATTCTAAAATGCATTCGTGGCATCCTTAGCATCATATGATATGCGTCCCTTTATGCATCATCAGGTCCCTTTATGGGTCATCAGGTCCCTTTTTGGGTCATTAGGTCCCTTTATGGGTCATTGGAAACAGGCACATGAGTCATCGGAATGCCTTCAAGGTCGTCCCTTCATGGGTCATCGGATTTGTTAACGCTAATGGATGTACCACATATGATTATATGCAAAATCTGAATATGAAAATGATTATGAATATGTATATGAATCTATTTCTGATTTTGAATCTGAATATGCATAAGAATCTGATTTCTAACTCTGTGATGGACGTTATTCACTAAAACCCTTTACTCAATTATTATTCGCTGGGCTCTAGCTCACTATATTATTTATGTATGTAGGTGATCAGGCGCGCGACCAGGCTTGGAGGCATCTGCCTAGAATCTGTTTTTGTCAGCCAGCCTATGTGCCTCCCGTGGAGGTTCCGAATATGTCAAGTGATTATGGCCATATGATTTAAAGTTTAAGTTTTGTTTTCGTGTTTGGTTGAACAAGTCTTGCGTATTTTGTAAATAGGGCTAAGTCCCTTTTTGTCTAATCTGTATATATATAATGACTTAAAGATGATGTGTGTATATGTATATAAATAGTTTAAAATTTTTCTGTCTCATATAAGTCTGCACAGCTCAACGGACGTTGTATATTGTTATTTGCTTCCGCTAGCCCCTAATATTATGTTAATCTGTCTCATAGGCCTTCGGTAATCCCAGGATTACTGGCCGATTACGATACTAAACCTATAGGGGCGGGTTTGGGTTGTGACACTGGGGATCCCCATCCCTCTATGCAGCCAAACTAACCAAAATCTTGCCACTAGAGAGTTGAAAGTGCAAAGAACCAGGTTGGAGGAAGCAACCTCCAAATTGATTCAAGACTTGATTGAATTTTAATTCACTCCCTTCATCCTACAAGGCATTGCACTGATAAGGTACCAAAATTGGTGGATGGCCAACATGGAGGTGCTCTTGGCCATTTCCTTCGAGGATTTGTTAGTAGGGTTAGACGTGCCCTCTCAGGCTAAACCCAAGGAGATTAGGATTTCTGCTACTGCTTCCATTTCTCCTGCTATCCCAGCTCCTACTCTTGTTATGTCAGCCCCTCTTCCTAGAGTCACCAGGGCTGCTTCGAAGAAAGGTACTCATTTCTTCTTTCCTTTTTCCTTTCCTTTTATGATATTCTGTTTGTTTTCTTATGGCTTTTATTTGATGCGGGAACTTCTCAGGAAGACTCTCCTTAGAGGGCTCAACCCTTAACCATTCTCAGAAGAAAGCAACAACAACAAAAGAAGAGAAAACTCCTACTTGACCCTAAAGAAGAAAAAATATGTACAGCTCATACAAACAAGGAAGAGGCAGAGAAAGAGAAAGAAGTGCCATTAAAAAGAAAAAAGAAAAAGACAGTCTCTCATTCTGATTTTACAGAGGACCCTACTCACAAGGTGGCTGCTAAGGCAGTGGAAGGAAAACAATCCAAGGAAATAATTGTCTTCCAAAGGTCTGAGAAGAGGAGACAACAATAGATACTAGGGGATGAAACTGCTGCTGCTGATGCACTCCACAGGGAAACTGTAAGAAGGCAACAAACTGCCGAGCACTACACTCTTCGTAGTTCTCTAATCACCACCACCACTTCTAAGGCTGGTAATTTCTCTTAATTCATGTGGTAATTTGTCACGACCCGCTCCTCGTACCTAAGGATTAAGCATCGTGATGGCCAGTAACTGAAGTTACCTCTGACCAATTCTTAAACAAATTACTAAACACGACTGGAAAAATATTTAAGTAAGGGTACTAAAATAATCATTGGAGCTTTTGCTTTTATAACAAAAATTTATTGACCAAAAGGCCGATATTTACATATGAAGAATAGAATTATAAATACTATAAAAGTGCTCTATGTGTCTATTCCACATCCCCGCTTCTAAGACTTTCCAAAAGTTATTTCTAAATTGCATCGTTCCTGAGAATTGGTAAACAGCTATAAGCACATGGCAGAGTGAAAATATTATACTAAGAGCATAAGGGCATAAAATTCACCGTAGATAATTATTGGCTAAACAAAGCTTGATATTAAAATACAGAGTATATAATACAAAGATCATTTGACATATAATACAGAAATCATATTAACAAAATAATCATACCACAAAACAGAACGGAAAAAAACAGATGTATAGACTCAAGAGGTGGCTTGTACGAACTCTAGAGATAGCTCCCACCATAGTGTAGCACCTAGCTCCGTACAACACTTTGCTCCACACTAGAAATCATAACCACAATACAGAACAGAACAGATGTATGGACTCAAGAGGTGGCTCGTACGAACTCTAGATGTAACAATCCACATTCATGTCCTAGTCATGCTTGCATGCGTTTATATGTTTTGCCATGTTAAGTTGCATTGTCAATCTTGCCTTGATTCGCTTAAGTGTGTTGCATGCTTTGTCCCTTCTTTGCTGACCCTAAGCCTAGGTCATGTTAAGCCTAGATCATTCCAAGCCGAGGTCATCTTCAGCCTAGAGGTACCTTGGAGCCACTTTGTTTGACCTCCACCTTCGCCTTGACATATTGGTCGAGATGTCATTATCTAGGCCGAGGTGTTCATCACCAAGGCCGAGATGTGTATTATCTAGGCCGAGATGTTACCTTTGCACCCAAGTGATCTTGTCCTGGAGTGGTATGACCTAGACCGAGGTGTGGCACATCTAGGCCAAGGTGTGGCACAGCTTAGTCAAGTGTTGTCCTTCCTAGCCGAGGTCATTGTCACCTTAGTCGCCGAGGCCTTGTTGTTAGCCGATGTCATCACTTGCTGGAGTGCCTTACCGAGTAGCTTGTTAGATACGCTTTGTCATAGCCTTGTCTTGTCAATCTATCACCTTTTTTAGGAGAACCAACCATCCGCTGCCACATGTTCGAGCTGAGGGTTAAGTCAGCCGATAGAGAGAGAAACCCATCATTTGTTATATCCTTACTTTTGAAGAAGAAAGAGAAGCTCTAGAAGAAGGAGAGGAGTTCTTGAGGGTGAGTAGACTTCCAAGCTTGATTCCTTGAGATCGAACCGTTAGATCCGTGTTCTAAGGTTAGATTGTTAATCTGCTCTTGCTGTTCTTTATGTATATGTTATTGCATTGCATGATTGAGTATGATTTGTAAGCCATGCATTGCTTTGAAGTCCGGGTTTAGAGAGAGAAAATGGTATTCATGTGTTCTTCAAGAAAAGTCATGTTTTGATTCGAAAGTTCACGCCAAGATTCATGTTTTTGTGTTTGTTTTCACATGATTTTCAAGTATGGGTACCCGAGTCCATGTTTTCGAGCTCATAGCATGAAATCCTAGATTGTTGTAATAAAGAAGTTATGATTTTGGCATTCATGTTCTTCATGATCTTCATGTTCATGTTCTTCCTGTTCTTCACGGGTAGAAACCCAGATCTCCAGACCGCACTTCTCGAAGTGTAGTCACCGAGATCATACTTACCTGCACCTCACACTTAGGCCAAGCATCGTATCTCACCTTGGCCTACCTTGCATGATCACTTGCACCTTTAGTTGTCTTGTGTGCACCTCGGCATGCAGTTGCACGCCGAAGCCTAGGTAGTCACACCTCGGCCATGAGGTGTGGGACCTCGGCAAAGACCTAGTTGGTACCCAGCATGTCTTCCTGACATGTAAAACAGTGTTTTGACTCCCAGCATGTTTTCCGAGATCAATTGCATGCATGTAAGACTTGTTTTGGGAAGTGCATTCAGTATGCTTTGTCATGTGTTTGTAGGACCTGGACCTTTGCCTTGACCCCGACGTCCCAAGAACTAGGTGAGTGGTATTTCTAATAAAGTTATGTTATAAGGTTTTGATAAAGCTTTGCCTCGTTTTGATAAAAGTATTTGTTAAGCATGAATGATATCCCTATTTTATGTATCAAGTATAAGCTTTGTTTTAGATGACATTCTTGGAACCATCCTTTCGTGTTAAGGGACGTTAAGCCTAAGTAACACCGTCCTTTCGTGTTAGGGGACGTTAAGCCTAAGTCACACCGTCCTTTCATGTTAGGGGACGTTAAGCCTATGTAACATAGTCCGTACGAGCCAGGGGACTTTAAGCATTTGTGGCATTAGTCCGTATGTGCCAGGGGACTTTAAGCGTTGGTGGCACAAGTCCTTCCGTGCTAGGGGACTTTAAGCCTATGTCGCACCGTCCTTTCGTGCTAGGGGACGTTAAGCCTAAGTAGCACCCTTGTTAGATATCGGCCACCGACGGACTATGAATGGGTGTGCTCGATGCCGAGGTCATGCTTTTGTTTTGCCCGAAATGTCATGCTTTTGTTTTAAGTTGACGTATGTTAAGTAAGTATGTAAGTTTCGAAAGACCAAGTTCGAATGATGTTTTGTTTTAAGCCAAGCTAAGCTATGTTATGTATGGTTTTGACAAGGATATACTATGTACTATTTTGAAAAGATCTCGGATATCATTCATTTAACCCCTTTATTACTTATACCGTTCACTGAGTATCCAAGCTCACCCTCCCTATGTATATATGTAGGTAACAAGCAAGAAGTCGGCTACGCCGAGATGTGTGTGTGTTGTATGCATGCTATGTCGGCAGTGGGGATGTCGGCAATCCTGAAGATTATGTTTCATGTTTTTTAGCTTAAGTGTTTTGTTTATGTCGGCTTGAGAAGCCTTTTATCAAGATGTAACATGTATTTTTGTACTTCGTTTTATTTTTATTCAAGTTGTAAAGCTATGTAAAGATGTATGCCATTCCATTTGACTTATGCACTGCTCTTATGGACCACTTGTATTTTAAATTATTGCTTCCGCATTCGTGAGCCCCATATATTTATACTCTGATTGCGTGTGAATTTTGAAAGTTGGCTTTCGGTAATCTCGGATTACTGGCCATCACGGCACCAAACTACTAGGGGCGGTTTGGGGTCGTGACACTAGAGGTGGCTCCCACAATAGTGTAGCACTTAGCTTTGTATAGTACTTTGCTCTACACTAGAAATCAGAGAGTGTCAGTGGATCCAAGACAGACATAGGGTCACAAAGTGACTAATCAAAAGGCCAATGGTTATTTAAGTCTCCCAAGGCATGGGACTCCCATGGTGATACTTACAAAAAATAATTGTTGACAAGATCATCGTCAAATACTTTCTAAAATTTAAACAAAATATCCATGGGTTTCAATTTAAGCAAATAAGGGTTAGAAAATAATCCACGTAATTGAAAATATTAATATAATTTATAAAAACACAAATTGCGTAAAATGAATTATGGTAACTCAAAATATACACAAATATATTATGGTTACTCAAGGTAAAATATAGCTCACCTTAATGTTAATTCAAACTTTTACTTTTTGTTCATTGCGACTCACTAAACACTCCAAACTAAACTCAAAGTTTTATATATAATCCAAACAATTAGAGGCAGAGAGAGAGAGAGAGAGAGTTGATGAGGATGCTGTTGATGGATAGCTATATATATAGTGAAGAAGGCGTGCGGAG